GCGGCTTCGTGCCAGTTGGCAGTCGACTTGGAATGGAACAACGCCATAACAAGCTTTTCCAGATCAAACCTTCTGTTGGTCTTTGGCCATCTTGCTTCCGTAAGGATTGGAAGGAGGAAGTAGTCCTGACAAGGCTACGCATTGGTCATAGTTTTTAACCCATCGTTTTCTTTTATCAGGTATTGACCCACTGATGTGTAGCCATTGTGACACTCAAGTCACAATAGCCCACATTTTACTGTCGTACCGTCGTTACGACCGTGAGCGGCGGCACAATTTTAGACACATGTTTTCTAAAAGTTTACCCCTGACGCTGGACAGTGTCATTGGTAATTGTGACACTGTCCGATTAGATTGTATTTTTAATTTTTTACACACTGTAGGCCTTTTTAATTATATATAAATCTTTTATAGACATGTATTGGTTTTAACTCGCTGTATTTTTACATTTTACTTTAATTTACTTTCATTGTTTTTACCGGTTGTTTGGCGCAGATAGCCTCGCTGCTTTGCGCCATAAAGCACCAAACAACCAATCAAGGGGCCTCAAAAAAATAAGTGCGCCAGGGCCTCAAACTAACTTAATGCGGGCTTGTGAAGAGGATATGGTTAACTACCCCTCTCTGGGGAATATCCGCCTCAGGAGTACAATACTCTGAATAGATTTCTTCCACATTCACACTACATTTTCTGTTTTCTAAAAGTTAGATAACCAGCGAACCAAACCTGTCGATAATTCCATTTGTTTCATGCAGTAACGTAGACCATTATGCCGTACATTGTCGAAAGCTTTCTTGATATCGAGAAAGCAGGCGACAGCACACTTGTTTTGATTAAAGCTATCTACTATGGTTTTAGTTAATCTAGCCAAATGATCTGTGATTTGCCGAAATTGTCTGAAACCGTTTTGTTCTTCGGGTAATTTTAATGTGATCTCTTGGAATGTGGAGAGTCTATTAGTTATTATTCTTTCCAGAATTTTGCTTATACAGCTGGTCAGGTTGATTGGTTGATAGCTTTATGGTTTATTTGCTGGTTTACCTTCTTTTAGAAGCATAAGAACATTTGCTTGCTTTCAAGAGGATGGGATGTAACTTGAGTTGAGAGATA